TTTTATAATAATTTGAAAAATATAAAATGTTTTTGCTTTTACCATGTTATTTGTTGGGATTGTTTACCTCTGTGTGTCTGTGATTCAGCTTTTAAACCACAGCTCCTATATTCTTGTCTTGACTTTCCCACGTGGAGGTGGTGCTTTTTACTTGTCTTTCACTTTGTGCAGGAGAGTAGATTAAAATTCCAGTTTTACCAGCCTTCCCCAGAAGAAGACACGTGTATGTAAGGACGGATGATTTATCAGGTGCAGAGGCTATTAAGCAGAGTTTTTCACTATGTTAATCCAAGAGAGCTGTATTTAAGTTGTGATGAGAGGTGGAATGGGTTTGTGGCCTGTCAGGGAGGATGTTCAGTTTAAAACAATAGCAGTTGTCTTCTGAAGAGAGTAGAGTGGGTGCATGTTTGTGTCACTGAAGAGGTACAGTGGAGCACAGGCCAGAGGTATTTACAGGTCTGTCCTGTGGGTGGAAGGAGGAATAACACCTTTTACCCTGTCATGGGTTAACCCTGCCAGCTGCAAAGCACTCACAGCCACTCACTCTCCTCTCTGTCCCCAGCGTACAGAGGAGAAGATAGGAAGAGCAAAAGTGAGAAAACTCATGGGTCGAGGTAAAGGTCCCCAGTGTCAGGAAGGTGAGGAGAGGATAGGTGGTGATTCTGAAAAGTCATCACCTATGGTTTTCAAATTTTCTGGTTGTTGGCTGCTGTAGGGAACATTGTTCCATCTATGCCTAAAATCGCTGACTGGTGGTGGAAGAAAAGCAATGTGACAGGAGAAATGCATCCCAGGTGTTGGCAGTGATGACATAAAACATTTTTATTTTTCAGTGTCCTTTGATGAGACTGTTGTTGTCTTTGTCACCTTATTTGCAGTATTAAAATGGTTTCATACAGAAGGTCACAGTAGTGTACAAGTAGCAGTCTTTGCAAGATTCTCATCCAGAAGTTCAGAAGTTAACTGATGCTCTATTTTTTGGGGGAATTTTTCAAGGTGAGTTATGAGGCATTAATGCCTTTATTGTAGCAAGTTCAGACGGTATTTAGCCTTTGCTGCTCATGGGAAACAATTATTCATGATTGTGTGAGGAGGTAGTGAGTTGGTTTTGCCTCAGCGAGAGCATAATGATGTGGAATAGAACAAGGAGTTCCAGTAACTTAAACAGTAAAGCTATTCAGAAAATTCACAGCCTTTTTCAGAAATCTTATTTCAACATGACACAGCTGCCCACAGACAGGGCTCTGATGGGAACACACTGCCACACAGGTGTCAGGCTGGAGCCTGCTCTGACCAGTACTGACCAGCAGCAGGGAGCACTCCTGTGAGAGGTGTGCCTGGGTAGGGGAACTCCTCTGTGCTCAGTCACAGAGTTCTGGGAGGTGACTGGCTTGAGGAGTAGCAGGGAGAGCGAGAGAGAGGGAGAGACTAAAAGCTACCTGCTTTCCCTGACACAGGCTGGACAGGCAGACTGGATACAGAGGATTCCCTTTCCTCTCTCTGCCTGGTGAACACAGTGACTTAAGGGGCTGGGGGCAATGGTGATGGGTTCCTGCCTGGTGTAGCTGGTGTGTCTCCTCTGTGACTGCCCCACTTCCCAGGTGCCCTCCCATAACAGGTATGAGGCTCTGCAGGTGAGACTGAGCAAGGACAGTGGTTCATCCAGCATGGCAGTATTGCTGAGGTTGGCCTACACCCTACATCAAAACTGCTTCCATAAAGAAAAAAGATGGGTTGTTTCCATAGGAGAGTCCCCTCTGAAGGGAACAGAAGGCACCTTATGCCAACCAGCCCGGCCTCCCTGGGGCCCGAATTTAAGATGTGAAGAAAAAGCTTCCTGCCCTGAATGCTGCCTTTGATTGATTATCCTTGATTGATTTTTTTTTTTTTTTTTTCATGTAGGCAGTAATGAAGACTGAGCAAGTCTCTGAAAGACTGTCCCAAGTCCCTGAAATCTTTCTGAGAGCAACCAAGAGACTTCAGGGACTTGGGACAACTGGTTGAGGGATCAGGAGCACAAGTGGTGTTTTCCTCTGTCCTTCCAGGTGCAGAGAAGATGAGTGAAGAAACAGAAAAAAACAGCAAGCTAGCAGATCAATAACTGGCTCTAAGCCTGATATCATCAGTAGAATTTTGATTTTGGGGGTTTTTTTGGTCATGGGTCAGTTGACTTGACATCAAGTCTGCTGGGACTGTGGAAGTCCCATTGTCTGGAAATTAGCAAAGATGACAGGAGTTGGAAGGATAACCTGTTTGTCAGCCAACCTTGGTGCTGGGGAAGGTCATCTTGAATGCTGTCTTGAGGCACATGCAGGTCGAACAGGTGATCAGGCCCAGCCAGCACAGACTGGTGAAAGGCTTGTCCAGCCTGATCTCCTTCTATAGCAAGACAGCCCACTTGGTAGATGAGCGAAAGGTTGTGAATCTTGTCTGCTGGCTATTGTAAAGCCTTTGACATTTTCCACAGAAAATGGACACAGAGAAACTGACTGCTTGTGGCTTGGAGAAGTAAAAGGCTGGCTGGATGGACAGGCCCAGAGAGCAGTCATGAATGGAGTTCCATCCAGCTGGCAGCCACTCACAAATAGTGTCTCCCAGGACACAGCATTGGGGCCAGCCCTGTTTGATGTATTTATCAACCATCTGGATGAGAGGATCAAGTGCACCCTTGGTCAGTTTGCAGAGGGCACCAAGCTGTGTGGGTGTGTTGATCTGCTGGAGGGCTGGAAGGCTCCACAGAGGGGTCTGGACAAGCTGGATTGATGGGCTGGGGCCAATTGTATGAGGCTCAACAGGGCCAAATGCCAGGTCCTGCACTTGGGTCTCAACAACCCATGCAGCTCTACAGGCTGGAGCTGGAAAGCTGCTCCATGGAAAAGGACCTGGAGGGGCTGGTCAACAGCCAGCTGAACACAAGCCAGTGTGTGCCCAGGTGGCCAAGAAGGCCAGTGGCATCCTGGTCTGGATCAGCAATAGTGTGGCCAGCAGGAGCAGGGCAATGACTGTCCCTCTGTAGTCAGCACTGGTGAGGCCAAATCACAAATTCTGTGCTCAGTTCTGGGCCCCTCAGTACAGAAAGGACATGGAGGTGCTGGAACATGTCCAGAGAAGGGCAATAGGGCTGGGGAAGGGTCTGGAGCTTAGGTCTTGTGAGGGCAAATTAGGGGAGCTGGGGATATTTAGCATGGAGCAAAGGAGGCTCAGGGGAGACCTTATCTCTCTACAACTGCCAGGAAGGAGGGTGTGTAGCAGTGTGGAAGTTGGTCTCCTCTCAGATAACAAGCACTAGAAGAGGAAATGGCCTCAGGTTAGGATAGGGGATATTTAGACTGCGTATTAGGAAAAGTTTCTTCATGGGAGGGGTTGGGAGGCATTGGAACAATTGTCCCAGGGAAGCTGTTGAGTAACTGTCATGGATGTCTTTAAAAGATGTTGAGATGTGTCCCTTGGGGACATGATTTAGTGACAGACTTGGCAGTGCTGGGTTAACAGTTGGACTCTGATCTTAAAGGTCTTTTCCATTCAAAACAGTTCTATGATTCTGTAATGATTTGTACTTAGAATGGAAGAGGCTTGAACATCTTGTACTCTAGCCCTGTAAAACCTGCAGCATCCTTTTATAAAGAGGTGTTACTCATCAAGTTTTTTAATCACTTGTATTTTCTCACCTGAGGCAAAATTCTGACCTAATTAAAGTTAATAGGTGAAAACTTAAAACTGGCAGACTCGGAATTTCACTCATTCTGTTTAGGTGCTTTTAATTTGAGTATAGGAATAATTAGGGCATGAGAGATGAGTGGTAGCATAGATACATAGGCACGGCCATGAAAAGAAAATAGCAATGAGTAGTAACAGGCATAAAGAGATAATATTTCTTCTAAAATAAGAAGCACAATTTTAAAAATAAAGATAGAATAACTTTGAAAGATAGAAATATATTATTAGTTCAAATCTAGGAAAATCTAAAAATAAGCAAATTTATGTCCTTATATGAATTATATTCAAGGATTAGTGCACTAAATGGCTGGGCAAAATTAGCATCAATTACACTGTGATTTCTATCTATAAGCAGGTCAGGTGTCTCTAGAAGGATGTGTCTTGTTCAAGGTGACTCTGCAAACCAAAGAATGCATAAGGGTGAATTAATCAGAGAATAATATTCCCTTATTGTACCCTGGGTGTAGAACTTGGGTACTAGTATACCCTGCAGTCTCAAAGAAAAGAATACCCCAGAAGAACCAGCTCTTTTGTACAGGCTGTCGTGGCCAGTCACATTCATCAACTGGCTTGAATTGTCTCCAGTGATAAAAAGTGAATGATCAGCATGTTATTTACACCTGTGAGGTTATTCTTCCTGCAACATGACCGCAAGTGTCATCCAGAAGGACCAGCTTTTGCTGAGTCCTGCAAAGCAGGAATTAAAATAATGCTCTGATACAGGAGGGTTTTAAAGCAAATGGACTTCTTGCTGCTCTTGATAGATTTGGATTTAGTTTTGGCTTTGTGTTTCCACAAATGGAAAGTTATTTAAAGTATTTTGCAAAAAGCTCAGTGAGTCTTGACCTCAGAGGCAGTTTATTTTAAACATGACAAAATATTATCTATTTCCATAATGCTATGTGTGGTCATAATGTCTCATTTTTTGAATTGCAACTACCAGTGATGTCTGTAATCACTGTTCTTTACAACAGAAATTGAATTTAAGAATAAGTTGGTGAGTTTTATTTCTGAATTGATCACCTAGGAGTAATCTGATCTGATATATGCATCTGATACTTCTGATACTTTTTTTTATCTTGTTTTTCTAGTGTAAGTTTTATATTACTGATTGATAATACTAACAGATTATCTCCATAGCAGAGTATTAATTTTTTTGTCTGGTATTTATGTGATCAGACACTTTTCAGACACACATTTCTCATTAATATATACATTATAGAGATTTCAATATTTTTTTAAAATAAATTCTCCCACTAATTTTCTTTCTTTCTTCTTTCTAGTCTGCTCCCAGTTTTCAAGAGGAGTCTTTGCTATTTTTGGATTCTATGACAAGAAGTCTGTAAATACCATAACATCATTCTGTGGGACTCTTCATGTCTCCTTCATAACTCCCAGCTTCCCAACAGATGGAACACATCCCTTTGTCATTCAGATGAGACCTGACCTCAAGGGAGCTCTTCTTAGCTTGATTGAATACTATCAGTGGACCAAGTTTGCATATTTGTATGACAGTGACAGAGGTAAGGAGTGGTACTTTTTTACCTGCACCCTGTTTGGCAGGTGTATCTCATTGAAATCTGGAATTCATATTAGATAAGTAAATAACAGAAGAAATATTTACCTCCAAGTCTAAGTGTAATGATCAAGTGTTTCTTGCATTTTGAAATTAGCTTTTGGGACAGAAACAAAATTGTTTAAATGAGTATGAAATTATTATGGTATGCATTAATAGAATTGCAACTGTTAGGCAATGTGAGATTAGTCACCTGCTGTAAAACAGTTTCTGAGTAAAGTTTTTTTCTTTTTTTGTTAAAGAAACATCTAAGGAGAAAAAAAATCTGAGCATGGAGGGCTAGCTGCTACCACAGATTCACTCCACATATGCAAAATCTGTAGTTGGGCACCAAGCAAGCAATAAATCTTGGACGCAGTCAGTCCCTACTAGTTTGAGGACTGCTATTGGTATTGAGTTCCTCTCCTCTGTTGCGCTTAGATTTTATTGTTGATGTTGATAAACCCAAATCCGTTGCCTGGGATCAATTAACTCCACCATACAACCTTCTCATGCCCTTTTACGTCTGTAGTAGTAATAATATAACAGTTTATGAACTTGGAAATGTCATTGGCAAGTTGTGGTGTATCAGTTAGTTTTCTGAAAAGAAGCCGCTTTATCCAGAAAGGGTGAGGTTTTTGATTGCTTTTTCTGGAATTCCATTATTATCATTCCAAATTCAGGTTTTCCTCACCTAGTCTTTGGCTAACTTTCTTCTATTCTTAGCTGCTCCTGTTCTCTTTAAAAAGGCTATTTTGTGGCTTGCCTGCATGTTCATTGGTCAGAGTTAAATAATAAATGCATTTTAAATTATAAAATGCTAGTAGATTTAAAGCACGGTTATGCCACTCCATGGTTTGTTGAGTAATTGGGTGACATTAAATTTCCTGCATTCTGATGCCATTTTACACATGATGTTCAGAAGCTTAAGGGGTCTCCTCAAGAGAGTGCTTTATCATTTTTGTAAGCACTCAAGTTAGAAGAACTAATCCTGGTCTGTGTCTTCCAAAGGAAATGCCACATGGAACAATGAATGCTAAGCTCATTTCTCTGGAAGTTCCTTTTCAAATTCACATTAGAATCAGAAACATTCACTGCCTTTTCAGAAAGGACAGATGAAAAACTACTTTCTTAGCCAGTATTCTGTCGATCATCTAGCAGTGGGCAGAATGTGACCTGCATGTGATTTATATTCAGGAAATACTGAAAAAAACCTTAGTTCTTGTGAGGTGCACTGTCTGGATCTGACTGGGAATAACAGCATGAGATTGTTCTTTCTAGCCACCCTTTGGCTCTTCCTTTTTTTCTTACCTGTTGGTTTTAATTGTGGCAAGGCACCCCGGTGACAACAAGCTCCAAGGCATGAAGCTCCTACCTTATGTGGAGTAAATCATTGCTCCCCACAGATTGCATGAGATCAGCCTGCGGAGTCGAGCAGTTTGTAGCCAGCTACATGGACATCAGATCCTGGATACACAAGTCCACAGTTCCTTTAAGCACTTTTGCCTGCTCATGTAGTGACAGTGATGTATATTTAAGGAATGATACAGAATTAAAGATGTTTCCACCTTCAGAAGTGAGATAAAAAAAGACTAACTCTTCATGGAAACTATGAAGGCTAATAAGAATTAGTTTGATGACTCATTCCCTAAAGAACCATTTATTGCTAGTGTTAGACCACTTCTGTGGCTGAGGTTCAGGGCAATTTCCTGTCATTTCTATCCATAAGGAGTGAGGCCATTCAGTATATGTGTGCCCAAGCCATTGCTGTCTTAATACAGTAGTTATTCTCATGTCATGTGGAGCAGCGTCCTTTACCATCCTTACCTCCTCTCTGCCATTACTAACAGTGAGTTGTGGAAAAAGTAGTAGCATTATTGTAAGATTCTAGCTGTAAAAGAATTGCTAAGTTATTCAGCCTCTCTTCTGTCTTCCTTTTCAAGGGTCACTGCTTTGAGTTTGTCTCGTGATAACCAGAAGAGGTTCAGGGCATGAGTTTCCCTAGCAGAAGTGCTCCTGCAGCTTGAAAAATAGCAACTGAAGTTGCTGGAGTTTTCTCCTCTGCAGAGTCTCCCACTTCCGTTACTACTCTCCAGAAAACTTCACAATCACAGAACTATTTCTGCAAATTCTTTCAGTTTGGTTGTTTTGGTTTTGGAGGGTTTTTTTGTGATTTTGCAATGTGTTATAGCTATCAGAATAAACTAAGCTGTTATCAGAATAAACTCAGCTGTATGGGGATGACAAATCTGCCACACAAAAAAACCAAAAAAAACCAAAACAAGCAATCCAGGCAGCCATTTGATATCTCTGCAGAGAGTACCTCAAGAAAAGAGAAACCCTAGGGAAAACAGAAGATCAGAGGAGTAAACTATGGGAACCCTTTGCAATGGGAGGTATTAGCATTAATAGTCCTTATTAATTTGTGCCTTGTTGAGATTGTTTAACTCAGAGGAAATTTAGACCTTAGGTTGGAGGACCTGAAATCTGCTAAATGAGATTTGAAACAATTATTCAGAATAAATGTGTTTCAGTTTGGCTGATTTTTCTTTCTTTAACATTTTAATTCATCATTTCAAGCAGTATTTTGAGGTTTAAACATACTTTGGTGCTTTTTAGTGTTTTAATGTGTTCCCTGCATCTCTGTTTGCTTACATTACTAATCTTTCCTTATTAACACAAGTTCACCAGATTAATCTTTGACATTTGAAATAGTTTATATGTACCAGTGGCCTGCAGTTATCTGTGATTTTAAAATAAATATTCTTTGCATGACATGCAAAGCTTACTATCAGTATTTCTTAAGGAGACTTGGAAAACCAGAATTATATAAGATAATAATTCAATTTATGCTTTTGGAAGCCTGCCATTTTCTACCTTTGCTGATGACCAGTCTTGTGTAGTGCTGTATGTCATTGCCATTTTCACTGATGAAGCTGAATTGCTAAACACTGACCAATCTTAATTTAATATTATACCTACAGACTGTGAGACAAATTAGTTCTTAGTGCTCTCCTTCTATGTTTATGGGCATAACCACTATTGTTTCTCATGAGAGTTATACCTGAAGCTCCCTTTAGCTTCAGGTATAACTCTCATGATTTGTCAACCACATCAGAATTTGTCTCAGAGAAATTACTCCCAATGTTTGGTGGTCTCAGGAGAGAAGAATGTGCAAAAAAGGTCAATTCACAAATAAGAAAGTCGAATTTATATTTTTTTTTTCCCTATACTAGTATCTGGTATTCCTAAAACTGCTCTGTAGAATCATGTAGGAATTGAAACATAGTAAGTCTCATTCTTGTACTGCTGGAAATCATTAAAATTGTACTTTTTGTATAGCAGGAATTAATTTCCAGCAGTAATTTTCATGTTTCTCTACTACATTAGTTCATCCCTAAAAAAGTAAAATCTGTCAAGTAAAGTCTTCACTGGTTTTACAGCATATTGTAGCAAGCTGCATGTGTACAAATGTTACAGCTCCCTATCTGTAACATGCCAAAAGTACGAGATGGAGGCAAACTTTTCTACACTGCTTGTAGGTGTTAGCATTGAGCCTGCTTATCTATATGGAAAAAATATCTCAGCACATCCTTCATAATCAAGGACATGACTGTAGGCAACAGAAATAGTAAATCCATCACCATCACTGCAGAACATGGGAATTCTGCCATGGACTTCAGTGAGGTCTGGGTTTAAATACAGTACTGCTAAAGTGCTGGGAACAAAAGCTGTTCAATAGCTTTTGTTTAAGCAGATGATCCTTTAATAAGGCTGATCCCCTTTTTAATAAGCCGCTGATCTTTTTGCTCTAATTGGATCACTCCTCTTCTAGAAGATCTCTTTCCCACTATGTGGAATTTCAGCAGTGGATCAGTGAAACCAGCAAAATCCAGTTCTGCAGAGGGTTGAACCAAACCCAAAGGTTGTACTGAAGAGGCTTTACCTTGATGCCTTGCAGTGATGCAAATGGAAATTTCATGCAATACTAATTGATTGGGCCCACATATATCTTAGTTTCTGACTTCTACCTACTTGTGACAGGTCAAACAAGTTACAGGAGTTATGAAATAAGTGATCTCACAAATCACATTGTAGAAGCTTGTTAATTCCTGAAGCTTTTTCAGTCATATCTTCTGTTTTCTCCTGTGCTTCACTAGGCTTATCAACATTGCAAGCTGTGCTGGATTCTGCTGCTGAAAAGAAATGGCAAGTGACTGCTATCAATGTAGGAAATATTAACAATGAGAGAAAAGATGAAACTTACCGTTCACTGTTTCAAGATCTAGAGGTAAAAAAGGAAAGACGAGTGATTTTGGACTGTGAACGCGATAAAGTCAACGACATTGTTGATCAGGTTTGCTATTCTCTTCCTTCAGTGACGGCAGTTAGCAGTATTCTATAAGTAAATGTAATGAGTTCATTTGTTTTGTTGGTATTTTTGTGATTATTATGAATCATTTAACAGTGACTGGTTTGTATTGAGGACTACATTACGTGCCAGGCAGAAAGTGAACATTCAAATCCTGTAATCCCTCCCTTTGCTCAAAGGCAAGATAATTCTATCTGGATGATCCTGTTTTCTATCCTGGGTTTTTAAAATAAAAGCAGCAATTTACGAAATACCTTGTTCAGACTATTTCACAACCAAAGGAGTATACTGTATTATACATAGTCAATACACTATTATACCTGGTCCAGTGTAGGTAGTTATGCCTAAGGGTTGGTTCTTTTTACACCTAGAAAGTATTTTCTCTCTCTAATGCATTTTCTGAGAACCTTTTATGTCTTGGGAAGACTGTATCACAGCTTCTCTTTCTCATTTAATGCCCTTTGAAATTCGTGTTTTGAAGTTCTTTGTCGTTTGTACTTTCCTTGCTTGTCTCTTCATTTTGTGTCACTCTTAAAGTGTGTTAACCAAAATTGGATGCTGTTTTTCATAGCTAAAGGCCTCCAGAGCTTTAAAAAGAACAGCAAAATCTGTCTTCTCTTCACCCATGCAAATTATTTGCCAAAATGATTTTTTTTTCTAAATTTTCTTTTTAGCAACATTATCACGGTGCTCTGATTCAAATTACTGCTTTACTTTGAAATCCACCACTTCAGTCCTAGTGTCTAGGAAGGTCTTACTGGCTCTGTACCTTACTACTTTTCATGCATGCAGGGCACAATGGAAAATTGTAAGGATAGTTCCCTGTTGGCTTGAGCTTCGTCATGTGAGACTGTGCAGCATCAGTAAGGATGTATCATCAGGGTATGAATGTATTTGTTTGAAGGTTTCTTGAAGGGCTTGTTATTTTGGTCTCTGTTTTGAAGGTCGTTATATTTTGAAGAGGTTCAGACAATGAGCAGTGTCCTTAACAGGGTACATTCTATGTTTGTTGTTTTATTTGGAATTCATATCCACAAACTGTTTTTCTAATTTTCAAGATAAATTTTAATTTGATCCTGTTCTCAAGAGTGATTGATCTCTGTGAGTGTGATCTTTCTGTCATCTGCTGTTTTTCAAAATAATTTTTTTTTTTTGACTTATCAATGTCAAGAAATTTAAAGTGTAGAGCAATGTTTGACATAAGGAGTCCTTATAGGTCCTCTTCAATTGGTTCTGTGTGGCTTTTCAGACAGTTCTCAACTTACCTTACAGTGACTTTTTGTCTTGTCCATGTTTCTTGTGAGTTTTTAATGATGCACTGCAGAGCAAACACCTTTTTAGACTTAAGTTATGTCACATCTGCTGTTTCCTGATTATCAGGCCAGAGAAAAAAAGATACTGCTTTGACGTATTTTGATCTTGGCAAGACTATTTTTACCATTTATCTTGCTATCTATACATTCTTTTTAAAATAAGTATGAAAATTCATGATAATTTCTGATATGAAACTTTGACTGTAATTTTCTTCAGTTTCACCTTTTAGCTACTTTTTATAGACAAGAGCCCTCGTTACCCTTCAGTAACCACTCACTTTTGCAGTCTTTGTTTAATAATAGACCTATTTTTGTCATTGTCTGCTTCTTATTTTGATTGCAGTTCTGGGATATTTTTCTTGCATTTTACACTTTGGTTGATTCCCCCTTTTTTAGATGCTTAGAGTTTCTCATCTTATCCCCACAGACTTGTGCTACTCCTTAAGCACACAGATAGCTAAGCCTTTGTTTCTGCTGTTTTGATTTGTAAGTCACTGAAGAATCCTTGATAACTGAATCAGCCTCACAGGTCAGTTGATATAACTCTAATTTATTGTTCTCTGAATAGTTTACTGCTATGCCCTGGAATATGCTCTCTTAAGCTGTTCTCAGCTGTCCCACATGGGTTTAGTCTTGGAATTCTTTTCACAAGATAGCCTAGTTGTTTCTGGACTTTGGGCTCTTTTTTAAGCCCTTACACCATCCTTATCCTTACAGTCAGTAACTTCCCTTCCTTACATTTAAAGGTAAACTCATTTTCAATTTCTCAAATAGCCTATAAAAAAGTCTGAATAACTGATTCTCTCTTAATTTTCTCTATCTCTCAAAATGAAGTGCTGAACAATGGATTTCTTGGCCTGTGAGCGTCCTTTGAGTGTGTTCTTCTGATTTTTTTTTCCTAATGGCTGTTTACTTCAGGCCTTGCTTTGCTACCAGATTTATTTTTGAAAAATTATTTTAATTCCTGCCCTGAAAAAAAAAACCCCTCAGAAATTTCCTTCATTTCATGAGGATGCCTGAAGTAGTTTTTCTGTATTATATTTAATAATACAGAATAATTTAATAATTTCTGTGTATCTTTGCAGTAAGAAATGCAACAGGCTTTCTGTTAATCAGATTTTCCTTGAATGCCAAAGTATTATTTGTGTGCAAATAAAGCAACTTCTTTACTTTTTCCTTGCTTTCTATTGTTGATCAGATCTTTCATTTTAGTGCATTTGATTTATCCTGAAAATATTTTAAGCTGGGGTGACAGCATCAGGTTCACCCAGTTACGTTTTGTAGCCCTTGGATCTTGTAGCCTTGGATCTTTGTATAGCCACAAAATGTGTTTGCACACATTTGTTCTGCTTCATCATTCTTGGTTTTTGTCTTGTGTTATAGTTTCTCTTCCAGATTTCAACAATTCATGTACATTGAGAAATATTCCAGTTCCCAAGCTCTCCTTAAACAAGTTTATATTCCTTTTCTCTGATCTGGCAGGTCTGTGCTACCACGCTCTTCATTATATAGCTTCTGTCTCTTCTCAAGCAGCTTCCTTTGCAGAATCTCATTTCACCCTGATAACACCCTCTGGGCAGCTGTGTAATTACTGCCTCTACTTGTCTATGCCTGCTAGAGAAGATCCTCTGAACTGCTGAGCAGATTTTGTGTGCACAGCTCCTTCATCATTGCTTTTGGAACTACTACAGACTTTTCTCACTTTTAACTGGCAGCATCCTTGGTGTTCATATGAACAAGTGGAAAGTTTTAGCAAGCTGGATTAATGAAAGAGTACCAAGTGGCAGCTAGAGCAGAGTTCCTGAGCATTGATCCAAAGGCTTGCAGCTACTGGTTGTCTTATCAGACACCAATGATGAGGAAGTATTTCATACATAAGAGCTAATCTATTTGGTCTAACTGAAATTTATTTCTTCTTGAGCAGCAGCTACATAAGAAATAGATCTGAAAATAGTTCTTAAGCCTCTCAATAAGTATTTAGTTTTAATAGTCCGATGCAAGTAGTGTTTTAGGTTATTTAAGTTCATGTATCAGATATATACTGACCTCAAAAGAGGAACAATTTAATTGCTTCTATCACCTGTGTAATGTGATCCTTCTGAGTCCCAAGCTTTGGTAAACTCAGTGTTAAAACTTCTTTCAATTATGTTTTTGTAGCTTCATTAAGCCAAGTATGTGGAGTGTTGTTCACTAGTACCCTGATATAAGTTTCAGGATACTTAGTCTCAATATTTTAGTTATATGTTGTATGTTAAATGAGGAAATGAATGAGTCATCCACTCTTAATTTAAGTTGTTCTCGTTGTTCGAAAGATGGAATAAACCTCTAGACTCCTCTTATCTTGCACAAACTTCCTCTGGAGAAGTGCTTAGCTTCCAAATGCAAACTTCCCCATGCAAACATAGGCCTAATTAGGCTTATTTGGGAGAAGAATCTGTGATGCAGGTCTCCCAAAAGAGACTGTTGAGGAACCACCAGCTGGTGAGGGAGATTATGAGGAAGACTTAGGGCAGTAAACAGTTTGAACTTTACAAGGCTTCCTCATAATTCATTAATGACATTGGGCAGAATCTAGCAGGAGTCTGTGAGGCACAGTGTTGCTAAAGCATGATGCCTCCTCTCTCCTGGCTGAATACGCACCACAGTAATTAGCATTCAGCTCCCTTGTCTTGAGGGACTGTCCCTCTTGGGACTTGGACTTCAGCACACCTAATTTCTGCCAGCAAAGAGTATGTTCAGCAGTGCATTAGGTAAAATAAAGCATAAAGCATCACACAAGCTCAGTATTGTATACCGTAAAGCTCTTAACCAGCTTTTACATTATACTGCATTTTGTACCTTTCAAGTCTTTGTCTGTGTACCAGGTGAACATTCTCCTTTATGGGGATATTTCTTCTTTTTTACAGGTTATCACAATTGGTAAACATGTTAAAGGATACCACTATATCATTGCAAATCTGGTAAGCATTCTTAGTATTTAAAATACCTGTATTGCTCATTTGACTGTTTATGGAAGCCTACCTACTAGTATTGTTTTAAATACATTTTAGAAAACAGAAAAAAAACTAGATGTCTTTATCCTCACTAAATGAATGCATGTGTTGACATTATATTGGTTTATTGGCTGAGTTTTTTCAGGGTTTAAATGCCTCTTATCATATTCCCATCAATGGGAATGAAGGTTGCTCAGCTCCTTCAATAGAACTTCTCTTTTTCTACATACTTTAGAAAAAGAGGATATGTAAAATAGAAAAATAACTTTCTGTATCATAGGATGATACATTCATTCAGCAAGGTGATTTCTTTCTCACAACTTTTCAACTACTTAAGAATCATGGTTCTCAGGCTTCATTCTGCTAGACATCTAGTGTGTCTTGGATTTCCACATTTTGTCCTTCAGATTGGCTGAATAATCAGTTTGAATTAATGTTTTCTTGAACATAGATGATCAGACAGTATAGCTAGTAGTGTTCCTGCAGGGAAAGATCAGAAAACTTACTAAATTCTGTCAAAGTAATTTTTTTTTTTTGAAATTGTGTCTAAAGATGAAGGGCCATTTTACTGATATTGAAGTCTATAAACACTTACTGAAGCTAGGGGAACTAGTCCATCTGGGTTTTTTTGTAACAGACAAAGCAAATTCTGCATGCTCAAATCCCAGTTACCGTGTTCAAGAAAAGTTTTCGGGGTTGTATAGTGCAAATGCCACCAAACCATCTTTTTCATCATTTATTCTTGAACTGTGATAGTGTTTGATAGAAATTCCAGCAGGGCCCAGAGTGCCCCAATTGACACTGTCTTCCTTTGAGTCCTTTGAGGAGCCAGAGGAAACAGAAGGAGCATGGTGTGGGTTGGGTTCTTGAGGCATAACCCCTGTCTCTTCCCAGCCTTTGATGAAAGCACTTCCCCCTCCAGGCAGGCAGTGCTCTGAAGAGTCATGTGGGTGCCAGGGTGTGAAAAGGCCTGATGCTTTAAAGGCTTCTTCAAAAGCTGGACACTGGGGTTTCATTCTTGTATCTCAATGACTAATTTTTGGATAAAGAAGTTGAGGTGCTGATATTCATAAAGCAGGCATAAAAGTCTTAGCAAAATGTGAAAAAAATTATCTGTTAGACATCTGTGGTTTTCATTGCAAATGTTGGATAAACAGTATTTTGAGTCTTAAGGGAAATTTTAGAAAATGTGCCCAGTGGATTTCATTATGTTAACTGGTTGCTATTTTAGCCATTGCTTTAAATTTGTAACAGTAAGTCCATAAGATCTAAAAATTACTGAATCTTGTGTTTTAAAGCTGTTTAACATATGTTTATGGTAGTGATTTTAAAAACTTGTTTTTCTCTGTCAGAAAGAAAACTTACCTTGCATTTGAGTCATATCTCATCTTCACTGAACCCGCCTGCTTTCTTCTTTACGGACTGCAGTAATATTCTCCCCCAGTCTGATCAGTCATTCAAGAAATTGATCTATTTTGAAAATTGAAAAAAATGCTGATAGATGGAGAAAAGCTTTGAATGTCCAATGAATGTTCCTGTTCAGCTCTCAAGTTACATGATCCGTGCAGAAGTGTCTGTATTAGCAGGCAGCAACACATGAAGATCATTAATATGCAATAATTAAAGAGCATCTAGTATAACAATTGTAGCAACTTACGATAATGCAGTTTGAAGTTGCTGCTTCTTTTTGTATTCACTCACAACATTCATTTATAATGAAGTGTCTGACATCATTATTTCATGTAGATGCATTTGTATGGTTATTTGGGTGAAGTTAAATCACAGAACACAGAAAACAGAACACAAGAACTTTGTAAGAATGAGAAGTAGTTCTTTGTGTCAAAGGGAGGAGGAGGAAGTGGAGATGGTAAGTCCTTCTACATGCTTTAGAGCTCCTAAAAAAGAGGATACAGCTGTGGCTGTAAGTATTCCTGCCTAAAACTTGCCTGCCTGTTACTCATGTCCACTGTTCCCTTTCTCACTTAAGTGGTGCCCTTGAAATTAGCAGGATGTTTAGGAAGCCAGGATGGCAAGGTCAGGTCCACTCAGCCCTTGCTCTCTATAAAAGTGTTTGTCTAGTGGGCAGCAAGAAGAACCCCCTTGCTGGCTGATGGAGCTGATGACTTAATCCTGGCAGCCCAGGATTTAAGTTGGATCCTGTTTGAGGAAAATGTTGGCTTACTCTTCTGCAGTAGAGGTCATACAGTAACTCCTTCTTTTTATACACTATTGAGAGAACTGCCAAAACTATTAAAATAACAGACATATTTTTTTTCTGTTCTCAGGGATTTACTGATGGAGATTTGTCAAAAATTCAGTTTGGAGGAGCTAATGTCTCAGGATTTCAGATAGTTGACTATGATGATCCTATGGTGTCAAAATTTATACAACGTTGGTCAACACTGGAGGAGAAAGAATATCCTGGTGCACACACTAGTACAATCAAGGTATGTCCTATGTTTGTTTCAACTGCACTAGAGGTACAGGAAGTGAAGGGTCTGAGATAGAAACACAAGAGACAGAGAAAGCCCTTGAAAATCAATGGTGCCAACACAATTTTGTATTTTGCTAGGGCACTTTTAACATTCTCTGTCATAGGATTGATTGAGGAAGGATGCTACACTCTTAAAAATGTTCAGGACAATTTTTTCTTGTGTCACTGTAAATCTGTGCCTGGCAGCTTGTTAGGAAATTGGTTTAGATATGATGATAGATTAAGTAGATCTAATGACTAGTTTTGATTTTTCTCTTTCTCTGTTTTTGAAATGTTTCTCATTCTCTGTAGTTTGATATGTTTAAAGACCAATATTAATCATGCTTCTGGGGAGCACAGATTTAGCACTTTTTTGATGTAACATAATCCCAAAGAAATGATTAGACTGTCCCTTTGAGACAGATGCCTAAGTCCTACAAAGACTTACAAAATTAAATGCTATGCCTGACGTACAAAATCATGGTCAGATTTCAGGCCTGTGTGACACGCGATGTGACACCGGGCAAGTGGTTTAGCTTTTTCACCTCAGTTTTACTTCTGGATAAAACTAGGATAATAGTACCTTCTCACTTTCTCTAACCATCATGAGGATCAATTAGTGGCTGCAAGATATTAAAAAGAATAATTCAATTGTAATGTTAGATAATTTTTTTAAGTAATAAAATCACAAATTTTAATAAGAACACTTTCTTAAATAGCTTTAAATGACAAAACAATAAGTTGCAAATGTTCTAGCTTTAACTTTTTTTTGTGCTATAGTTTGACTATGAAACATATTCTTAATTTATAATGAAATGAGTAAAAAGTTCAGCAGGAAGGAAGAACCATTTTTTTAAATGCATGGTAGAAAAGTCCTTTAAAACACACAACTTTAATTTTAATAAGAAAAATATTATAGATTCCTTTTTTATGAGGCCAAGTTTGGTAGTAACTTAGTCAAAGTGGTTTTTATTGTGGTTGTTTTTGTTGTTTAAAATCTTTATGACAGAAGTAGTGAATTTCTTACTTGATATTTGACAAAGTAAACTGGAGTCTGTGTCAGGTCTTCAGATACATTTGTATTACAAGTGTGTAGCATATGAAATCCGTACTGCTCTCATTTAGGAAAAAGGGAAGGGATGTGGCTGTGGGAAATTAATAGCATCCTTTTGTCTCTCTGATTCTTGAGTGCCCAAAGCTACCTACAGATTCATGTTGCAGAATCACAGTCTGCAAATAATAATAGGGAAATACATAAAATGTGTGACTAAAGTGAAGAACTCAAACTGAAACCAAGATGCAGTCTTTATCAATGATGGAAAAGTAAATCACAGTAGCAAGGTCTCTGGTGTTACACTAGGGGGAAATTGCATGTGTATTAGAGAGCATGAAGTGGTTGCAATGTTGTATTGCTGTAAACCTTCCACTTTTGAGGTTTATTTTATTATGGATAGGAAAAGTAAAGTAATTTAAATACTTATTTTCTTGAATTTAATTAATTTTGAACACATTTTAAATTCAGTTTAAAAGGCCGACCTCTCTTCTTTTTTATATTGTTTGCTCAAGATATATATAGGACTGCACTGATACTCAAGAAACTGAGACCTATATTAGTTTATCAGATAATTTATAAAAGCTAGAGGTATTGATGGTGAGGAAAGTGTAGATGCATATTTCAATATTTGGTGACATTGATTGTATCAGTTACTGTATTTCTTTGTGTAGCTTTCTATCTCTTGCCCTTATACACGTATTACTTGTCATTTTTGCTTGTCATTACATGTAGGGTTAGAGATATGTCACATTTCATTCCCATCCTTGAGGGAGCTAGAGGCAGGGCAGAATCATAGAAACCATAGAAACAGGGCAGGAAAGGTCTTTGAGCAGTCAGTCACCCGCTCTGTCCTCCTTGCCTGAAGGCAGAATCAGGTAAACCTGTGCAGTTCCTGTGAGTAGTGATTTCACAGCTTCTCCAAGCATCCATTTCAGCACTTAAATCATCCTGGTTTTGGCTTTTGTCTAACCTTAATCAGCCTTTATATCACCTAATCTATTACTCCTTTATATGTTCCTAATGGCTGTGAGGGGGTTCTGCTTTCTCATTGAAGAGGGCTGCCACCCTTCCTGCCTCGCTTTACTCCCTGCAAAACCAAATAATCCCTTTTCTTATGAGTTTTCTGCTCTCAGATAATTTTGCCCTGGAACCTTTCTATTTGGTACCTCTTTGAAATGCCAGACTGGCTACTGCAACACATCTGTGTGCTGTGCTGAGGAAATGGAAATAATGGCTTCATGTGTCTCAGAGACAGTACTCACTTCAGAAGGTTCTTTTGTATTAGTTTTTTTTTACTTTTTTTTTTCCCCCTCATACCAGGGATCATACCATGTCTGTCCACCTAATCATTACTTTTAAGTATAGGATTTTTTCATCAACTTGTGCTGAATTGAATTCGTTGCCTGTCCTTCGTGAGCATTTCATTGCTTCTTATATTGTTATTCTAGCCATGTTACCCTCTGCTTCTTGGAGAACTGTATAAGATTACTGAGCAGGTCTCCCACTTGTCCCTTAAGTGATCTTACAAATAACTTTTCTCCCCTTTTGATTTTGAGGTAGTTGTCCAAATTGCCAGTGCTGATAAATGAACTTTTGCCCCCAGTCCCATGGAATCTAGGCAACTCTCGCTGCAGATTCTGTATGAAACAAATAGGAAGGCTGACAAAAGCCCTGCATCACCAGTATAGAAATGAGAGTGGTTACATGCCCCTATCTGGTAATATCGTCTCTGGGATTGCAAGTGTTCTATCATTGCAGACAAAAACATTGCAACTCTGTTGTATTATCTTCCTTTTGTAATCCAGAAGTAAGTGTGCATTCATTTCCCATTACAGAATGCAAGTCAATGGACTATGACTGAGCTGATAAGACATATCACAGCATCCAAGTACAGTCCTGAAAATAGACAAAGACACCCTTTCTAAGAAAAAGAGCATTTCAAAGAAACATGCTCTTCAAGAAAGAGGAGCATTGCTAAAAGCCTTTTCCACAGATGCCCAGAAGAGGACCTGTATCAAATTGCGTTAAAAAATGTACCTTTACAATTTATGAAATACTAATTATAAAAAATTGCTGTCTTAGGACAGAGATGAGAAAAGACACTGTTCTCATTTGTTGCTGCACTGTCCCTGTACTGATAAAAGCACAAGATTCAAAGATTAAGCAGGATGCTTAAAATAAGTGCTTTGCAGACTTTTTACAGAATATTTTTACAACTTTCAAAATGAATGCTGGCTGATACATGGTTTACTTCAGATCAAATTTAAAACATGTCTGCTGTAACCAAGGGTGATACCAGTCTATGCTTGCAGTTCTAGAAGAGCTAATGTGTAGATCTTGAAGCATAGAGTTAAGCATACTGGCTAATTTTTTGTCAAGTAGCAAAAAGAAAAAATTTTTCATTTTATAAAGGCCTAAAAGTTGAACCATTCTTTCGATCTAGTATTGTGTATTTACAAATATGCTGGGCTTTCTGAGCCTTAATGCTGCTCCAGACTATTACATTTAAGGCAAGCTTCTTGGTCTTGTGGAAGGCCACTGAAGGACAGCTCATCCGTTCCCATCCAATGGCTCCAGTTGCTAATCTGATTAACCCATTCTCTTGAGGAGCAGACTTTGGTCTGTTTGCTGAATATCAATCTGTATCTCTTGAAGGCTAGTGAGACATGAGTTGTATTGCCTTTGTGGGGCAGGGTTTTGGTAGAAGGGGGACCATAGTGTGGCTTTTGTGAGAAGCTTCTGGAAGCTTCCCCCATGTCCAGTGAAGCCAATACCAGCTGGCTCCAAGGCTGACCCACCGCTGGCCAAGGCTGAGCTCATCAGCGAAGGCGGTGGTGCCTCCAATAACACATTCAAGAAGAGGCAAATGCTGCTGCACAACAGCAGCCAGAGGGAGGAAGGACAATATATGAGAGAAACAGCCTTGCTGACAGTCAGTGCAGAAGGAAGGGCAGGAGGTGGACCAGGTGCCAGAGAAGAAATTTCCCTGCAGGGGAAGAGTGTGAGAAGGAAGCAGTGGCAGAGATGGGTGCTGAACAGACTACAGCCCCCTTCCACATCCCCCTGTGCCACTGGGGGAACAGAGTATAAAGAATTTGTGGGGGAAGTTGAGCCTAGGAGGAAGGGAGAAGTGGGTTCAGAGGTTTGGAGATTTAGTTTTCATTTTCTCATTATCCTACTTTGGTTTGATTGGTAATTAAATTTTTTCGGAGTTGAGTCAGTTCTTCCTGTTACGGTTATTGCTGAGTGATCTCTCCCTGCCCTTATCCCAACCCATGAGCCTTTCATTATATTATCTCTTCTTCTCTCCAAGGAAGAGAGTGACAGAACAGCTTTGGTGGCACCTAGTGTCCAGCCAGAGCCAACCCCCTACCTAAGTGCTGAGCTTCAAGTAGGCATGTCCTGTGAGGGACAGCTAAGCACTCTGAGCTTGTCTCCTTTGGAGAAGAGGAAGCTGAGGAGTGACCCCATTGCTCTCTACAGCTTTCTAAGGAGGGGAGTAGAGAGGACAGTGCTGACATCTACTCCCTGGTATCCAGTGCCAGGGGGATGTGTGGGAATGGTTCAGAGCTGCACTAGAACAGGTTCAGACTGGACCTTTGGAAGCATTTATTTACATTTATTTCATTTTTTTAGGGTGGTCAAATACTGGAACAGGATCTCCATGAGAGATGGTCGATGCCCCAAGCCTCTCTAAGAGGCATTTGGACAATTCTGTTAAAAACACACTTTAGCATTGGTCAGCCCTGAATTGTTCAGGCAGTTGGAGCAGATAATCATTGTAGGTCTGACAACTAAAATAGTCTATTCTACAAGCCAGACTACTCTGGGATAAGCTTTTCTAAGAGCAACCTGAGGCTTGAAGTGCCTGAGGCAACTTGCATATGATATGTACAGAAACTGTGTGCAGCAGGCAGAAA